GTACGCGAAAAAACTCGAGAGTTTCGAGAACGAGTCTCGAACCCGAGTTCTTCGGCGTGCGGAAGAAGCAGCGTTCCGACTTAGCCACAGCCCCTCTAACGAGAATTTTTAATTTTTAGTCTCTTGACGTACTCCACGATTTTTTTTCCCAATTTTTTTTTTCTTAATTTCCATTTTCTTTCCTTCTTCCATCGTCGAAAAGAAACATTTGTTATTAAAAAAAAAAAAAAAAATTCCGTGCTATGAGAATCCGAACGAGAATCGTTGATGCGTCGTTTGTCGATCGTCTACTATTTCGTTGGTAGGATTTTCAATTCCGTCCATTTTTCGATATCTCTTTTATAAGAAATTCAATTTCCCTCCTATTTTCTATTTCATTTTTTTCTTTTACTTCGTCCGTGTTCCGAATTTCTCCATTCTCCAAGAAAAACAAATCGTTCCAAATTCTACCGATCGAACGAAAATCAAACCAACGAAAATATCGAAAAACAAATTACAGTAATTAAAATTATTAAAGTGCGGTCAATGATACGGGAAAAAAAAATGATAAATTCGTGAAAATGTAAAATAATAAAAAGTAAAACCATGTAAATAAATTCTAACGATTACATACATTTAAATGATATTGATAATTGCAACAAAAAATATTGATAATTAAAAAAAAATAAACGAAAAGAAAGAAAAAAACGATTAAATCTTCTTTACGCGTCTTATAAATTAATAATAACGAAAACAACATTAAAAACAACTCTCTATCAAAAATTTTATTATCGATAAAGAAACGTTAAATTTTCAAACAACGAAAAAAAAAAAAAAACGAACGTAATAACGATTCGTCGATAAAGTGAAAATTAATATCGTTACGAATATTATAACGAAAATGAATCGCGACGCGACGTGTAGTAGCGACGTCCCATCGATTGTTATTGTTATATACGTACAATATATTCGTAGTCGATTTCTGAACGCGGAACGAAACGGACGTGTTTCTATTTCCTCTCCGACTTTTATCCCTTCCTCGCTACGAGTAAGATATTATAAATTTATTCCGTACGTAAGGTAATAATATTTCTAATATAATATAATTATATAAATATAATAGTATAAATCGATAAAACGACGAATCGAGTGTTTCTCGATTACGACGATACAACGATATCGTACCAACGTGATACGTATACGTGTACGATGAAATAAAGAAAAAATATATATACGCGTGTATTCGTTGGTTCGTGACGCTTGTAAAAAGAAAGAAAAAAAAAAAAAAAGAATAACTAAAGGGTGTATAGTGGGCGTATCGTAACGAAGAGAAAAAAGAAAATTATCTTGCGTTTAACTTTTATTATATAATATTATGCCGTATTTTTCAGTTACATAATTTTAATTGTGTTCGATACCCTATTCCTCGTATAAATATACGCGTACCTAACAGTATTTTTGGCACGCGTACACTTATACGCGATGCGTATTCGTACCCTTGCGTACGCGTACCCTTTCGTACACGCGTACCGCTGTGTATTTGTATCCGTGATCGACTTTATTATCAATATACAAATAATGGAAGACATAGCAGCACCTAGAAGTGCTGTTCAAAAAACGACTTCTTATCTAAAACGTTCGTAAATTTTTTTTCTTCGTTTTTCCTTTTTCAACCACGCTTTTCCTCGCTTTTCCCTCCCTTTTTCCTAGCTTCGTTCTCGATTCGCGTCCTTATCCTTATTGCGTTCCATCTCCGACGGTCGTTTTACGAATAATACGCTAAATGATATTAAATGGATAACCGAACTGAGAGATATACGCGTGCGTGGTAGAATCATAGAATACGTGTTCCTTTTAATTTAATTTCATTCCTTCGTTATTTTACGTTTCGTTAGGCTACGTTTCCTCCTTCATCTTCGTTTTCTTCTTTTTTTTTTTTACCACTTTTTCCTCGCATAGACGACGCGTTATCCTCTTTCTTTCTTCTCGTTTCTTCCCTTTCTTCGCGTTATCCTCGCGTCCAACTCCAATATTTGCGCGAATGTACGCGAATGTACTATGTATCCCTCTAAACGCGTACAGTGGTCGTTTTATCCACGACGACGCGTAAATATCGTTCCTTTTTTTCGTTCGATCGATCGTTTCGCTCGTAAAAACGCGTTGCGTTTTTTTTTTTACGCTTTCTCTTTACGCTTCTCTGTCTCGTTGCTAAAAGAAAAAACCAGCCATGTTCCATGTATGCTCGTCGATCCTTCGTTTTTTCGACCGATTTTGTACGCGATCCGTCTTTATTTTTTTTCCTTCTCTTTCAAATGTAACGCAGCGATAATTTCCAATTTAAATTGTGGAACGTTGTTCCGTCGTGTTCCGCGAAAACGTCGTGTTCGAAAAAGAGAAAGAAAAAAGGATAATCGATACTTGCCCTAATAATTGCAAGCGTAATATCAAAGTTTAACTATGCAACGTGCGATACGATTTATCGTGATATATCGTCGTCTCGAGAAGACGTACGCACACGTAAGTAGAATATGAGCGAGAATATAGAATCGATATTTTTGGCAAACATACATCGAAAACTCGATGACGTGAAACGAGAGTGCAGGTCCGTTGTGTTATATGTCCAAATGCGAGTATCGAATGATATCGTTATGTCATGTATACACTTACGTTTCGTCGACGAAACATTCCCTTCCCTCGTTACTTTTTTTCCTTCTTTCTTTCTTTCTTTCTTTCTTTCTTTTTTGCTTGTTCTTTTCGACGTGAAGGAATGTGTCACGAAATAGGAACGCTTTGATACAATTTTCCATTTCCATTGCTTCGACGCTCGCGATGTACGCGCTCGGATCGTTAATGATAATAACTAATCACACTCGTAAGTTTTATATACATATATTATCGCTTGCGCGCGATTTATAAACGATGAACGTTTGATTCGTGTACCGATCTCGGATATAAAATATGGAAACGACGTAATAATGTTTCGATGTTTCGATGAATCGGCAATATAAATTCATAAAACGGTTCTCGGTTCTCTTCACACGATCAAACGTGGAAAAAACGAAAAAAAAAACTCGATAAAGAACGATCGTGCTTATCGCCATGATTATTATTATTATTACAGCCGGATTATTATATAATAAGAAATATGCATCTTAAACGTTTATGCGTATTGTCGTTTCCACTCTGTCTCGATCCACGCGTCCTCGATTACGCGTGACTCCATCTCGCTTTTTTTTCTCTCCCGTGTGTCACTGATACTTAGATACGATTAGGAAATATTCACAATCTCTTTGCAACAAAATTTATAATGGGATATGTAATCATAGATCAACATTAATATTATGTTTATTTGAATATGTACACGTCTCTTCTGTGCGCATACGCACGCATGCCTGTTCGAGTATGCGTGTGCATGCGTGATTGTTACGTACACGTAGAGTGCACGTGTATGTACACGAATACATACGTGTAAATTAATGTCATACGGACACGTATTATATTTATATGTATGTATGTATGTATGTATGTATGCATGTATGTATGCATGTATGTATGTATGCATGTACGTATGACTGTAATTTACACGCGTAAACCTTTTCTCCAAGTATGCGAGTATGTGTGTGTGTGTGTGTATGTACGCACGCATGCACGTACGGAGTATACGTGTGAGTGTATATACGCGTGCACTCGCTCGTTTATCGTTATGCACGTATTACTCAATTTTATATATAAGGTATTAAACCGATAAACTAGTATATCATTTTCATAACTGTTTCATAGAAACGGCAACGCTAAATTCATTTCAAAAACGTTAATTCGTGGATATCTGTGTATCGTATTTGTCTGTCTCTCTCTCTCTCCGTCCGTCCGTCCGTCCATCCGTCCGTTCGTCTATCTATCTGTCCGTACGTTAAATGTGTGTGCGTGTATATGTATAATAGAATCGTCAATTGGAACAAAGTCACGCGAGAGTGCTTGAAACAATTGCGATGATGAATAAGAAGAAGAAATGACAGGGACGATTCGCGCTACCGCAAAATTTGATCTCCATTTCTTCTGGATGATAATTTATACATTTGGGAGGCCTACGACGATACAAACGTTCCCTTCTCGCGATACAAGCACCGGGTTCTGTCAGAGCCTCTATAGGCTCTATGCTCAATTGTTTGCTTCCGCATGGGCACAAGGTGTCTACTACCAGCAAAATCAAGTTCGTGTGGGGAATCTTTTGCACGCTGAATGGCCTGTAAATGTAAAATAACGACGATAAGTCTATCTAATGCGTGATTTAAATTTTTTCCATTATTGTCGTTGCTACTGCGTTTTAAATCGATAAAAGATGTTGATTTTTCATCGTTAGAGCAAGCGTTAAGGTAAATATACCTTACGTACCTTTCGCAACCGGTGTCGTGACAATTGGTTAATTTTCCTTTCAACGGATTACTTTGTCCGCTGGTGTTCAATCTTTCCGGTTGTAAAATATAAAGATCCGTTTTTTTCTCGCATGATCGTAACCTTGTTCGTAAATGATGCGCGGATGTAGCTCGCGTCGTACCAGGAGACGCAGGAGTTGCAGCGGTAATAGTGGGGGGAAGCCTTGGAAAATTTCCATCGGATACCGGTTCGTCCGTCGCTTCTTCTCCTCCTACGTCTACCGGCAATGACTCGAATTCGTGAACTTGTCCGATCGTATCTTCTAAAAATATACAGGGCATGTATGTTTATTTTTATTTTTCCAACGATATCGATATCTCAATCATCAAAAATCAAAAATGTTACTGTAACGAGATCTTTCCATCCTCCCCTCCACCCCCATTCTCCTATCTCTCCCTTTTAAAAATAAATTATACACCTATTTTCTTACCATCCAAAGGCCTCACGGATTCACCGGCGAATGCGAATGCAACTTGCCATAAATTTTGAAAATTAAAGCCAAACGCCATGCTCCAAAGAAAATTTCCCAATATCGCGATCGTTTTCGCGACAGATTCCGTGAAAATTCTCGACGCGGATGACTGATGAGATTCTTGTGGGCTACATATACCTTGATAATCGGTCACTGTTACTTTTCTGCAATACATTCAAAATCTTTTACCAACCAATATTTCCATTTTTGTTACGTTCTTATGTTTTTCTTTTTTTTTCTTTTTTTTTTTATTACACCCTCGAACAGATAGATTTATACCTATAGATTCTGTCCTGAACCAGCGAATCCATTATAGTGCCGTCGATCTCACCGAAAAATTTTCCGGTATGCTCGTGACGTTCGCTGATTATAATAAATCCGTTATTGTCCAAGATATAACAGTCCAATGCGTCGGAGGCGCAATTTTTCTTGCAACTCGTACCGCTACACTGAAAGAAAAATGGAAATTGTTATCGAACGTTTTTCGTTCGTTCGTAATTGCTTTATTTCGGAAGAATAAACGAAGAAATAATCATAAATGGGAGATATTTGACGCAAATTTACCGTCGAAGTAATATTGACGAAGCGAGAGGCCAATGAAGAATGTTGAAACTGTAAACCTACGACAGCTGCTGGTGCTTTGTGTCCCGTCCCGATAAAAACCGCGTGAGTAGCGGTCACTAATGGATTGGGGCTGTCCGCTGTGTGAAAAACACGTTTGGGTAAAATTGAAGAAAAAAGAGAAGAGATGGTGGAAGAGTTGGAAATGCAATTTTCGAAAATATTCTCTTCGCTTATATAAGTGATTAAAATGATTAGGATAACGATAAGGAGTTACGTTACCGGCGTTAAAAGGTACGCTGAAAACGAAACTATCCGGTTCTATCGAGTGTTGATCCACAGCGCGTTTATACCACGAGGAATCCATAGCTCTTGCATATTTCTCGGCAAACGGTCTAAATAATAAACGAAACGTTTCTTTTTCGATATCGGGTTCGAATAACGGTGTTAAAAAAAAAAACAACAGAGTAAAGACAGATGTAATTGATATAAATTAAATAATAAGAAGATTCAACGACGAGCACTTAATATTTACGATTCATCGGTGTTATCTTCGGTTTGTTGATGTTCGTGCCAACGAAATAAACCACTTCTAGTTGCGATGAAACTCCGTGTTACGCCAAATGTACTCGTTCCTTGGCTGTAAACATGAAACTAATTGTATGGAATGTAATGAAACAAATAATAAAAAATACGACACGACGTAAGAAAATTTTATATACATATATATATATATATATATTTTTTTATTATATATTTTATATATATATATATATATATATATGTATAAAAGAATAACACAAGATATTGTTGTTTTCATCTATTGGACGATGAATGTGAAGAAATCGCGTAATTCGATATTTTATTTTAATTATTTTCACATGATATTTTGATAATTTTTCGCAAAGTTAAAAAGAAAAAGAGGAAGAAGAAGAGGAAGAAGAAGAAGAGAAAGAAATGGTAGATCGGTGTAGTCGATCTTTTTTTTTTTTTTTTTTTTGTAGTCGATAGTTGAATTATTCGTCGATTTTATTGCTCGATTTTATTAAAAACAAAGATTATTTGAAAGAAAAAAATAGAATGAAAGTAGAATAAGACAAAGGATATTTAGGAAACGTTTAGGAAAGTTTTTCATAGGTGTGTATATGTATTGTAACGATCAACGATTAAAACGACATTTAGGAAAAGATCACCGTGCAATATCGACGAGTGCGCTTATACAAATAATTGTGCATAATGGATTACCTGTGCAGTAGAGCCATCAGTATGGCAATAGGGCTAGCGGTGGAGACACACAATATAAAATGTAATAAAAATATGCGATAAAAGACAGCATTTTAAATGAAACAGATTGACATAGTTGCGCATAGCACGTGTCGCGTTTAAACGAAAAACGCATGTATATGGATATATTTTCGATTAATTATTAGGGACAGAGAGAGAGAGAGAGAGAGAGAGAGAGAGAGAGAGAGAGAGAGAGAGAGAAGAAGT